GGTGGGAAGATACTGACCAAGCGTTGACCACAGAGTAGCTTGTGTGAAGAGCACAGCTTATTCTGAAGGGGTTATTTAACCCTTCAGTTAGGCTGGGTTGGGGTAAATCTGAAGCAGTTTGTGAGGTTGGTATTTGCGTGGTAAGACTCCACTATGCAAGAGGCATGCGTAAGGATGTAGCAGCCTTCAGTATCTGGTGAGGGACTCTTCATCAGGGACTGTAGCGATAGGACAAGGGGTAACGGGTTTATACTTTAACAGGGGAGACTTAGGTTAGATATAAGGAAGGAATTCTTCCCTGTGAGGGTGCTGAGGCCCTGGCCCAGGGTGCCTGGAGAAGCTGTGGCTGCCCCATCCCTGGCAGTGTTCAAGACCAGGTTGGATGGGGCTTGGAGCAACCTGGTCTAGTGGAAGGTGTCCCTGCCCATGGCAGGGGGTTGGAACTGGATGAGCTTTAAGGTCCCTTCCAACCCAAACCAGTCTGGGATTTTATAATGTATAGCTTAACAATTTTGAAGCCACAGCGGCCTCTGGAGCAAGAGAGGCAGTAAGGAATGTATTTATGAAATGATGCCCTTCTGTGTGTTTTGGAATGTGAGTAGTGTCTGTTGTACTTACTTGCTTTATGCTTTGCAGAAGGGAGGTTGTTTCCCTGCCATTCCCCATTAGCTGGTCCCATGCTCCTTCAATGCTTAAAAAAAGGACCTTTGTGTTTAAATCCAGAGGGAGCTGCTGGAGGGTTCTAACTGGTGCCAGATGTTAGGGAAGACCCTGGGAGTGAAATGCTCAAGGAATTCAGTTGTGTGCTGTGCTGCTTCAGATGCTGCTGCTTCCCTGCTGTGGAGGCAGCGATGGAATGCTGTGGAATCAGGGTGGTGGTGGTAGGGGACGTTGCTGGATGACAAGTCAGCGCCCTCAGCTAGCTGAGGACCCAGCCGTATCGGGATTTGAAGTACCAAACCCAATACCTTGAACTGCACCTTGGAGCCGGTAGGAAGTTGTTATTACTGCTTCATTGTGGGAAGAGATAACTGTATCCCCCAGCAAGACACAGAAGCTGAGCACTGTTTTCGCTGCAGATTTGATCTGGGATTTTTGAAGCAACAAAGGACTCGGTAATAGTTGCAGCCCATAAAAACCTCTCAACAATAGCGTAGGATTTCTCTTCCTTGCCTCCTCGAGGTATTAAAAGGAAAAAATTAAGCCTCAACCACTGTTCATTAAATGCTGAGGGACTGAGTTAATCTGATAAATGGGGAGATTGTTTTCAGGCAGAGGAGGATGAATTGAGATGAGTTGCGGCTTTAGGGTTCACTGGAATGGATGCATTTAGGATGGACTGTTATTCCAGCCAGCCTTTTTGTCTGCAGTTTCAGTATTCTAAAAACAGTGTTTCCTGTCGCATATCTGAATGAGATACCACACGTGCTTGTAATTTAAATGCTATGGGCCGCGTAACATGTGGTAGTGGAGATCAATGGCATCCTGTATCGTTTTCCTCTTACCCAGAATGTTTGGGTTATGTTAGCACGGGTCCCATGGGAGCCTGTTGGAGGCAGAGCACTTCTCTCCTGAAGCCTGAGTTTATTGCGGTTTTGAGGGAGAACATCCTAAGTCTTGAGAAGGAATTTGGAGCGCTTTTTAAAACAAAGGAGAACTTGAGAGAAAGGATTGCTTTATCGTGGCGTGCAGATGGAAAAGCTTTTAAAGATCCACTTGGGTTTTCTTTTTCCTCCATTCCTAGTAGTCAGCTTAGGGGAGCAGTGAGCAATAGTAGGGGACCCACTGCCTACTTCCACACTTGTTTCTTGCACGTGTGATTTTGTTAACATCCGTATTTTCACTTTCCTTTTTAAAAACACTTACCTAGAACAGTAATAAAAGGTGAAAGCTGCAGCCCGTGATGCTGAGGGTGTTGTCGCTGCAGATGAGAGCGCAGTCGGTGAAAGTGGGTTTCTTCGTAGAGTTTTATGGTCTGAAGTGAAATGTTTGGCAGGTGAATTTCAAACATCTCTTTGTTTTGTGACGGGGAAAAAAACCTACCGAATAATCTGTAACATCACATTCAAACAAGTGAATAGTAACAGACCTTGGGGAGGGTGGGAATCAGCATCTGGAAAGAATAAAGGATGCTGAAAAGCTTCATTTCTAACAAGACAGGGAAAGAGCCTGCAAGATGTGTTCTGTGCTGTAAACTTCATTTGTATTTATTTACATTCCCATTTTATGTTTTCCTTTTTGCTGGAGCCTCCTGGTGTTTGGTGATTTCCCTTCCATGTGGCTATGGTCACAAGGAGTAACTGCCCCTTCCGCAGTACCCCTGGTCATCCTGGAGCCCCTCTGGAGAGAGGCTGGCTCTCCCTCCCCTCACTCGGTGTTTTTTCCTCTCTTTTGCTCTAAGCAGTTGCTTATCTCTTGCAAATGCCAGAGCAGTTTTCAATGGCCACATTCAGGCTGCTTCCCAATGCTCTATTTACCTGCGTGCCCCATGGTGTTAGACAAAAGGGTTATGTGCCGAGTTAGCATCACATCACAACACAGGAGGAGCATGGACCTGCTAAAGGGAATCCAGGGGAGGCCATGGAGATGCTGTGAGGGCTGGAGCAGCTCTGCTATGGAGACAGGCAGAGAGAGCTGGGCTGGTTCAGCCTGGAGAACAGAAGGCTCCTTAAGGGGAGACCTTAGAGCAGCTTCCAGTGCCTAAAGGGGCCAACAAGAAATCTGGAGAGGGGCTTTTGACAAGGGCCTGTAGGGACAGGACAAGGGGGAATGGCTTTAACCTGGCAGAGGAGAGACTGAGATGAGACATTAGGGAGAAATTCTTCCCTCTGAGGGTAGTGAGTCACTGGCACAGGGTGCCCAGAGAAGCTGTGGCTGCCCCATCCCTGTCAGTGTTCAAGGCCAGGTTGGATGGGGTTTGAAGCAACTTGGTCTGGTGGAAGGTGTCCCTGCCTGTGGCAGGGGGTTGGGACTGAATGAGCTTTAAGGCCCCTTCCAACCCAAACCAGTCTGGGATTCTGTGATAAACTGTTGTTAACAAACGAAGCTTGTTAAGATGAAACAAAGGCTGAAAACTTGAATACTTCTTGATGTAGATACAACCAATATATACTGCTGAAGGAGCAGTGCTGGCAGCCAGAGGGAAAGGAGGAGAAGGGTGTGGAACGGGAGGAAGAAATGATGACCAAGTCAGAGGCCAAATAGCTGTGATTTTTCTTTCCATTGCTACACATTATTTTGATGCAGTGACTGTGTGGGTGAAGGGTACACTGGTAGTTTTGTGTGTCTGAGCTATGGCAGTCATTTGTAACTTGTTTGCTCCTTTTCTGTCTGTGTAAGCGGAGGGGAGAGTGCTTATAAAATAACTAGCATAGTGCAAATAGTTTTACTGAACAAAAAGGGCAAGAGTTCAAAAAATAATGAAGGGCCAGAGTCCTTCTCCATTGCAAGGTCTTGTTTGCCTGGCTGCAGAGTGAGCAGGTTGTGTCACAGTTTATGGTGCTTTCTTAACAGCAAGAAACTGGCCAAGACACATGGGAAAAAGGTAAAAATAATGACTTGTAGCTCAAGATTTCACTTGGGTGAACTTTGGCATCTCTAGAAACAAACTGTTCTCTAAGTGCTACAGATAAATAGAATCACAGGCTGGTTTGGGTTAGAAGGAACCTTAAAAGCTCACACAGTTCCAATCCCCTGCCATGGGCAGGGACACCTTCCACTAGACCAGGTTACTCCAAGCCCCCTCCAAACTGGCCTTGAACAGGGATCCCTTCCAGGGATGGGGCAGCCACAGCTTCTCTGGGCACTCTGTGCCAGCGCCTCACCACTCTCAGAGGGAAGAATTTCTTCCTAATGTCTCATCTCAGTCTCCCCTCTGGCAGGTTAAAGCCATTCCCCCTTGTCCCTACCACCCTTGTCATGGCTTTTGTGGTTACATGATTATATGCTGTAGCACTGGGAAATTAATAATGGCTCGTCACTAAAGGGAATAGCTCTAAGTCATCATTACCTAGCCTTAATTAACAGAGTAACATACGTGCAGGTGGTTTTGTCTTTCTGAACTCTGCCTTCCTTGTGCTTTCAGGCAAACATGACTGTTCTGACTTAACAAGAATAGCTTTTTATCAAATGAATGATGTTTCTATGTGCCCTGTGGTCCTTCGTTGGACTTGATTCCTTCTCAGGCATTAGAAAGTATTGCTCACTTCTTCATCAGTCAGGAGCAGCAGGGAGGAAGATCTCTGGGGACAACATACCCTGCATAAGGACAGAGTGAGCATGCTTTAAAACCATGAAGGCAAGTTTAATTATTTACTGTTTGCAGTCCTGCTCTGAGGACATCCAGCCAAGCCCTTTACCAAAGATACTTCATTTGATGAAGTGTAGTTTATTAATTGCTTTAAACACCTGTACTTTTTCCAGGCTACCAGCTAATGCAGTGCTGAGTAGGTGTGTATGTTGTTACTCAGCCTTGACTTGTGTTTCACCAGTGTTTTATCTCCAGTGGATGCTTGTAGTCTACCCTTCAACAGAAATAAATGAAACTGCATCTTACTAAAATGCTGTTATGTTTAATGGGGGCAAAGAAGGGAAACCTCACCTGGAGCAGACGCCCAGCATGGAAAATCTCTGTCCTTATTCCAAACTATACATAAGCTGTGTAGCAGAAAGTATTACTAAAGTAGTCCTGTTCCACTGTGGAACCTTCTGCTCTCTCTGACCTAGAGGCTGCACACATCAGATGCTCTGAACAGCCCATAAAGCTTCGATCTCCCTTCGATCCCCAACCTGGGAGAGCAGTGAGGATTTATGGGCAGTTTCTCTGTTCCCATAGGGCTATCTCAGATTATGCTTATAAAACACAAAGTACATTGGACTCGTGAGCTGCGTGCAAGTTTTGAGCTTTGTGAGGCTTGAATTTTATAAGGGTTGGGTTTGTTTTGTCTTTCAAGAGAATTCTATGCACTTCTTTATGCTCACATCTGTTGTTTTCTTTGTAGATGGTTTGCGGGTGATACGTGTGCAAGCGTCTCGAGTTTCTCCTACAAGATGTGTTCCACAAATCCAGCAAATTGGGTCACCTTTGATGACGAGCCGCTCTTCCAGTCTCCTCAGAAATCGGTGGATAATCAAAGTAGTTGTAAAGCAAACGGCCTTAAACTCAATCTGTCTAGCATGCATGAGTCTTCAAGTAGGTCATCTTCTACAAGCAGCACTCCACTCTCGTCTCCTGTAGTTGATTTCTACCTAAGTCCTGGACCCCCCAGCAACTCTCCACTTACCACACCTACCAGAGAATACCCAGGAAGTTCGTGCATCCCAAAGTCTGGGATTCACATCCTTTATCCCATCCCTGAATGGCCATCAAACGTTAACCTTCCTCCGTCACCCGGGATTTGCTCATCTCTAACCTCACAGACACCGAGCAGCCTTCCTTTGAACACCTCACCTAGCGACCATCCAGTGAAGATTTCAGTCTCCAGTACAACAGATGAAGGAAGCCCGAAGCTGCCCGGAAGCTGTGAGGAGTTAGGGGAGTCATCTTCAGCACCGGGGCACTTCCCGTACTTCCAGGGTGACTGCGCTTTTTCCAGTCCTTTTTGGAAGGAAGGGTGCTCGCTCAGCACATCACCAGCTAACGTTAGCACACACAGGAAGGACAAAGCACTTGAGAGGAGCATCTGCCATCCTAAAGACAAGGAAACTTGCCACGACCAGAAAAGCCTTAACCAGGGCTCCTTCAGCTACATCTGTGAGAGGCTTGAACACCTGCAAGCTGATAGCTGTGATGCTGCAGGAAACCTGCCTATCTCCAGCACTCAGGCATGGCACAAGCATTCCCCCTCCATCCTACGCAACCTCTTCAGGAGCCGGAAAGCAGATGGGTGGCCATTCATGCTGAGGATTCCTGAAAAGAAGAATATGATGTCATCTCGCCAATGGGGCCCTATCTACCTTAGTGTCCTGCCCGGAGGTGTATTACAGATGTATTATGAAAAGGGCCTGGAGAAACCTTTCAAGGAATTCCAGCTGCAGCCGCACTGTAAGCTGTCCGAACCCAAATTAGAGAGCTATAATGTCTCAGGAAAAATCCACACGGTAAAGATTGAGTGCGTCTCTTACACAGAGAAGAGGAGGTATCATCCCAAAGTAGAGGTGATCCATGAGCCAGAGGTTGAGCAGATGTTGAAGCTGGGCACCACGGATTATAACGACCTTACCGATTTCATTGTAACGGTGGAGGAAGAGCTGATGAAACTTCCGACCATTTCCAGGCAAAGGAGGAATTATGAAGAGCAAGAAATGACTCTGGAAATAGTGGATAACTTCTGGGGGAAGGTCACGAAGGCAGAAGGAAAACTCACAGAAAGTGCCGTCATCACGCACATCTACTGCTTGTGTTTTGTGAATGGAAGTGCTGACTGCTTCCTAACCCTGAACGACCTGGAGCTCCAGAAGAGGGATGAGCGTTACTTTGAGAAGGAGAAGAAATGGATTGATATTCTTGATTGCCATTTCCATAACTGTGTTAAAGTGCAGGAATTTGAGCAATCACGAATTGTTAAGTTTGCCCCCCCGGATGCCTGTAGGCTGGAACTGATGCGTTTCAGGACACGGTATAATGGGCAAGACCTTCCCTTTTCTGTGAAGGCTGCAGTAGTGGTTCAGGGGGCATACGTTGAACTTCAGGCTTTTATAAACATGTCTTCAACTGCTCCAGCCCCAACACGTTTACCCGCTGTGAAATACTGTGAAAACGTTATGATACGCTTTCCCGTTCCCACACAGTGGGTCAAAGCACTTTGGACCATGAACCTCCAAAGGCAGAAGTCCCTAAAAGCAAAAATGAATAGGAGAGCGTGCCTTGGTGCTTTACATGAGGTGGAATCTGATCCTGTCATACAAGTCTCGGTTGGAACAGCTAAATACGAGAGTGCCTACAGGGCGGTTGTGTGGAAGATAGACAGGCTTCCAGATAAAAACTCAAGTAAATAATTTGGGCTATAAAATGATGGGTTTGGGTGCACCTCTTCGCCTTCCATCAGCCTCCATGGTGTAGGTTGGTTGTTATCTGTGTGGTGGTATTGTTAGAAGAGTCATCTTTTATGACAAAGAGAATATAACCTTACGTATTTTTTCCTAAATTATTTGATGGAAGCAGATGTATTATTGTCAGTAATTATAAGCGTGCAGTATCAGGGAAGTGGATCTGATCATTCTGAGCGAGCCTCAAATCTGCAGTAAGAAAGAGGGAAAGATTCATGCAATAGCAAAATGATCTGCCCACCAAGTATTGCACACTTAATAGAGAAGGTGGTATTGTAACCGTTGGGTCTTGGCTTTCTAGCACCACTTAAGAAACGATAGGTATGATGCATAACTAGAAGGCAGGGTGTTCAAACTTGCTGTAGGAAGTTGACTGTGCTTTTGCAAAGGCAAAAAAGGTGTCTATTACCTCTTTTATGGGCTTGGATATTGAGACTGTTCATGGCAATAACTGCACTGACAAAAAACGCCTCTCGCTTCACTCTTCTTTCTCTCTGGTGGTGGTAGCTCACTAACAAACTTTATGGAGAACAAAAATATTTACATGGTTTTAAAAGACCAGTTTTTAATCACGTTACCAGATTAACAGCCTTATATAGGACTGTTCTAGCATACAAGTTCTTGAGGAATACAGAATTCTGCTTCTAGTGCTGTAGAGTGAATTTGATCCTGTGCTTAGATGTGCATTACGTGTATTTGAGGCTTTGGGTAAGGCAAGGGCATCTGTTGAAGCATTTTGCCTAAAATACTGGTAAAATCTGTACTTTTAAGAAGAGGGTAAGTGTGTAGTATTAATAAATGGATTGGCCTGTACTAACTGCCTCTTTAAAATGTCTAGAGAAGGTTTTACCTTCTTAAGTCCTGGTTTCAGGGATGCTAGTACTGAGTTGACATATCCACTCTGACAGCTAGATGTCATACAGGTGTATGTAACTATATGTAAGGCCATATAGTTCGTCCCAGATTGGCTGAGTGCTCCCTTCTACATGCAGCTTCGTCCCTGGGTATTTCATGCTCTGCTCTGAGAGGATGCTGGTGGCTGCCAAGCAATGGGCAGCAGGAGAGCAGGGGAGATGCAGCATTGGCAGACAGGCTAACATAAAGCAGGGAGCTCAGACACAACTAATGATGGGGGGGAGAAGATTCTTCAGGTCTTCAAAATCTCTAGGTATTGGTGTCTTTCACTCAAGGCTTCAAGGATTTGCAGCATGCTGCTGTGATCCATGTCTTTTCCCAAGGCTTATGGGACTGATTGCTTGGGTAGCTTTTAATATTCTTTGCTATTTAATGTAGGTTTGCTTCTGCAAAATCAAGTCAGCAATTTAGTCAGGCAGTTTTAAAGAAGATTATAATTCTGCCAAAGACTTTAATTCCCTGCAGTTCGTTCACCTTAAGATTTGATGTGCACAATTAACTTCAGATTTATATATTATTTGAAGGTAAGAACTGCTTTTGTGACATTCTATAGCTTTATTTTCTAGCAGTAGCTCAAGCTTTTGACATTTGAAGAATTCCTCTGGCTGAGCTCTGCAAAATCATTTGTATCCTTGAAATGTTCATGCCTTTGAAAAAACATTTTGTTAGTAATACTGCCCAGTCACATTTTAAACCTCTCTATTAAGTTTTCTGTATGCAGCAAAGAGTTTAAAAATAGACTTGGCCCAAGGCATGCCAAAAATCTGGAGGCACTCAAGCTAATAGGAATATGTAAACTTTCATCATGAGTTTACTGCAGGGAGAAAAATATGCCAAGGTTTTTGCTTTCAAAAAGCCTTTGTCCAAGGCTGCTTAAAAAACAGCAGGAAGGGAAAAGCCTACAGTTATATTGTGACTCCATTTATAGACATTGAAATATGTTAGTATCCACTGGGTTCTACTCAAGTGCTTCCTTGGAAGGGTGCTGTGCAAGCAAAGTTGATGCGAGCTGTGAGACCCCAGGTTTTTAAAGGCTGCCTGTGCTTATTCAGGTATTTAAAAGGAGAGTTTGGAGACAGAGTGTTAGCATTAGTAAATAAAGAATTAAAAAGCCATAGCCTTTGAAAGGTTGAGCCAATGGAATATTTGCAAATCGAGTTTGTGCTTCTGGAATCGGATGTAGAACGTGTCATGATTTCAGCACAGTCTTTGCACTGGAGAAGCTGTACGCACGTGGGTTACCTATGGAGCTGGGGAGAAGCTGGACTTGGGAATGCCCTGTTTTAATCTCTTGTTATGTAAATTTGTGCCCAGTGGTGTTTCCTGCTACGACACCTCCATCCTTGGGCCGCTGTGTAAGGCAGTAGTTCCTCAGCTGATGATTTTCTGCATTGTGAAGCCACACTGCGGAAGCAGTGATTAAGCAACAAAAGATATGAAGCCAGGGCAGCTTGTGGGTGATGGCAGCCTTGCTACTGCCTTTTAGTGTGCAGGGTGATGTGGGTGCTGTCAACCTTCAGCTGCTGCTTTCCTTACTTCTAAACTGCCTAGGTGGAAACACCAAGCCATGACTTTGTCAAGTGGGCTCCATCCCTGCCCAGCCACCTCTGTCTGCTACCACCACCATTGCAAACTGCTCCTTGGTGGTGGTACCTTCCTCCTCCCCTATTTCCTATGCATTTCTCCCAGCAGGTTGGATAAATGCACCCACTTAGAAACAGCGGCAGGAGCCGTTAACTCCTAACAATCCTCATGTAAATCTGTTCTGAGTCATTGTTGATGTTCTCATGTTCAAAGTAAGACTTTCAGAACTGGACCTATTTTGCCAAAAATAGAATTACTACTTAACTAAAATATCCAGCACATGTGCTTTTGGTCTAAACTGCTTGGCTTTATGAAGCGTTCTCAGATCCGGGTTACTCAATGCTACTCAAAAAAGGGGAAGTAGTCATAAATAGTGTGAGTAGATGCAGGGAAGTTAGATTATTAATTGTCTGTGAAGTGCTATATGAATGCTAAATGACAGTTTGAATCAAATGTCATAGTTTTACTGATCTTTTGCTTGTTTTGGCTTTCTTGTTGGCATTCTTCAGAGGATGAGAGCAAGAATTGGGAGCATTTTTAGTAAAAAAGAGCCAGATTTTCAGATGTAAACCAGAAAAGACTTGGGCCTGTCAATTCACAAAAGTCTTGTTACCTAGACACCTAACCCACAGAGTTTCTGTCTCCTAAGTTAGCTAGTAAAAGCTCAGCTCTCCCCAAAGTATCTCGTTGCCTTTCAGGAGTGATTTTGATTTCATCAGTCCAGGTGGTCATGTCTCCATAATGCCTAACGGACAGGGGGGGCTTGCATCTGAATGTGTTGTCTTAGCTCAGTGAATGGATGTACACTGTGCCTGCTTCAACCCACTTGTCTTCCCACACCGTTACCTTCTGTCTCTGTTTCTGGCCAACATCTTGCTTTTTCAGCATTACAGTTTCTTTTGCAAACGGATCTTGTACACGCAGGCTCTCTTTCTTCTTCTAACTCCAGTGTAATAGGCCTTGGAAACAATAGTTCCATGGAGCAAATATGACAAAGACTGGTCAGCTTTAGGTGAAAACTAAGGCAACGCTCACTGTCTTCCAATGTGTTGGTCACTCACTTTGTTGGCTGACAGTGGATGGGAAGAAGTTGCTCCATGCTCCTAGCATGGCCCAGTGGTGGGCAAAACTTCTCTTCAGTGAAGTGGTGAGTATCTCTTTCTGACACTGATGTTGGTACAGGACATGGATGGGTTGGAGGAAACCCTGTGGTTTGGGAGTAGGCAAAAAGGTCCGGTGGAGGCCACTCCAGAGGGCCTAGGGGAGTAGGCTTACCCAGACCCCAAAACTATCGTCTCTGCCTTTGCAGGTTACCACCTAGGGGAAAGGAAGGAACTCAGAATTCATCAGATCCCACCACTGAGACCACCTCATGGGTGTCAGTTACCTGGAATATAAGCCCACATATTTTTTAAGGCCTATATGGTACTGAGGCACAACTGTGCCAGGTCTCACAGAGGAGCCTTTAGCAGCAGACCAAGAGGAACAGCACATGCCTGTGCTCAAGTGGACATCTGTCATCCAACGTTTCCCAGGAAAATTCCAAGCAGTGCTTACTTCTGGATTCCATTTCTCAGAAGGCAATTTTCAGACTATTCCCATTGCTGCTAGTTTCTTCATAGGCCTCCCTCTCACAACAGGAAGATGCTGAATTTGATCTCCAAAAGCCCTTAGATACACACCATTTTCCTTCTACCATGAATGGACTCCAAACAAGATGTTGCTGCTCTTTGACAAACCCTTTCTCCTCAGATCCTTGTTCAGCCATTGCTCCAGAGAGTTCAGCTTTTCCTGGCCAAGGAATAATGTGCCACCTAAGGGTTGTAATTGTAGCCCCTGCTGTTTCCTGCAGGACGTTTTACTTGTGGCTGTTGTGCGGTCCACCCATCCCAACCTAGCAAACAGAACAGACCAGGTCAAGTATGTGTATTACCATGCTGCATCCTGGCACCACCACGTGTGAGTGGAGCAGGTCCTGGGAGCCAAGAGGAGCACAGCTCAGGCAGGTTGTGGTGCCACAGATGAGATGAGATGAGATCTCACAGGTTGGCTCCGGTGCTTTTTATGGCCTCCTTGACAGCTTCACCACAGCTGCTGCTGGGTTGATGGCATATTCAAGAATGGAGAGGTGTGCCTCAACAGAGGCTCTTTCCACCATGTCCAGGCAGTCTGGAAGAGGGATTGTGAACTAAGAGAGTGTTAGTGCAGGAAAAATGGGCTTGGACACAGGAAGAGACGACCAGCAGCAGACTGTGGACAAGGATCACGTCAGCAGTATACAGAGCTGCCTGTCACTCTGTTCATGAGTGACAAAGTGCCATCTCCTCCTCACACTTCAGTGCTCCAGCTTCATTCTTAAGGGGTTGGCAAGTGATTGTAACATTTGTTTCTGATTTTGTTCCCTCCTCTCTTTAAATAATGAAGTCCCTAATGTTACAGTTTTACCTGTCTCTGTGTATCGTCTTATTGTCCTGAGACTTCAGCCACATGCTGTGTGCCCCTGGCATTGCACTCCTTTGCCTAAGACCTTTGTAGGCTTGCAAACTTGTGTGTTAGTGTGTTGAAGGACCCTGTAGAGTGCTCAGAGATGTGAGTAACGTCTCACACATGCTGGGAGCACTGATTTAGCACAAATCACAGTCGGTACCTCCTGCTCCACCTCCATACCAGCCTTGCTCTCTAGCTGCATGGGGAACTCAGAGCCTAATGCACAACTGAAATAAGCAGTAGGCTATTACATAAAAATAAGGTGACCATGCTGCTGCTTTTGGTTGTGGGCTATGTTTTGGGTGGTGGTTGTCATTTGCCAAGTGTGTGCGGAGTGTAAAACATTATGCCTTGACTGGTGCGGCTGGTGGGATGCAAAGTCAGCAAGGAGGTGTGAGGTTCTTCCATCCCATCTCTCCAGCCTGTCTGGGTTTGGTGATGGCCATTGCTGGGCAGCTACTTCTCCCCACTCACCTTAAAGTTGTACTGGACCTATTTAGTCATAGAATCACAGAATCCCAGACTGGTTTGGGTTGGATGTGACCTTAAAGCTCATCCAGTTCCAACTCCTGCCATGGGCAGGGACACCTTCCACTAGACCAGGTTGCTTCAAGCCCCGTCCAACCTGGCCTTGAACACTGCCAGGGATGGGGCAGCCACAGCTTCCCTGGGCAACCTGTGCCAGGGCCTCAGCACCCTCACAGGGAAGAACTCATTCTCAAAACTCAGAACCTACTCCTTTTATAGATCTGCCCTTGCAGTTATGAATGCAAGTTTCAGTACCTCTTCCTTCAATTTCTGTAATAAATTCCTTATGAACATGTATTAGAGCCATGCTTTGGTAGAGAGAAGCAGCTAGTCCCATCTGGGGAGTGATTGCTGGGCCTCATTGTGATACATGTGTCTTTAGGAGACTTCATGGCCAGTGTTCACAGTGCAGGATTCTAGCTGGTGGGTGTAGTTATTTTCTGAACTCCAGTCCAGGTTGTCTCTGAATATTACAAGTAGTTATGTAAAGAAACAGCATTTAGGATAAGGATTTAATGTGATGTATTGCTGGAAGCAAGCCTGCAGGGGATGCTTGTAAATCAGCTTTGTACAGAGTCCAGCTGGTGAAGGACTGCACTTGCCCAGTGACATGCTCCTTGTCTCAAGCAGTGGCTGTAAATGCTTCTGTGTTTCTGTGTGCATGCCTTTGGGGTCAGCTGAGCACAGACAGGAACGCTTGCAGTCAGCAGACAACTTTTCCAGCTACTGATTATTGTTGTTGTTATTAAACATGGATGAAAAAAGGGGGAGAAAAAGAACTGGAGACCTCCCCATCTGGAGTCTTAAGGGCTGATAATCCAAAGGTCACATCCTGTTCCTTTCTTTCCATCTCTCACCTTTTCTTCCAGTCAGCGAGGTGTTAACTGTGCTGTTGAGTGTAGCAACAAGGAAGAAGGAAGGAATTATTAATTATACTAATTATGTACTTAGTCAAAAGGAAACCAAAATGTTAAATGTTTCAGTGATTATGATTAAGACAGATTAAAACAAATTCTGTGCTCTTTAAGCCTTGATTTTTGGGGACACACTGACTTGGACTGAAATCTGGAGGATGGTTCATTGAGTTAGACTTTGTCCTGGTAAAGTCGGAGACACATGACAGAACTGCCCACCAAACCACTCAAGTGGCAATGGTCTCCTAATACCAGAAGTGGTTCAGGCAGGCTGTGAGGCAGGCTGCAGGGAAAACATTCACAGACCCAGCCCAAGGCTCCCAGGAGCAATGGAGAGGTAGCTTTCTAAATTTAGTTTTGCCTTACAAAATGTCACTTGAGCCTGTGGATGTGGAGTGTCACTGTGATTTTTCCCCTGAGATGGATATAGCTCAGTGTATGATAACTCCATCTTCAGTATTTCCTTCATTCTGGTATGAAATTGATTCCTGTCACTGGAGAAGGCCAGTGCATAAAGAATGGAACTTTGAGATGCCGCTCAGTGTAATGGATGAAAACCAAATCTACACTGTCAGGCTTGCCTTTGACAAAATACAGCCAATGCTTTCTCTGCTTGTATTTTTCTGCCTGCAGCCAAATGGTAGTCAGTTGTCTGTGCTAATGCTTAAAATCCTGGAGAGCAAGAGTAATGCAGAATTACTACATTTTGCCCTGAAGAATTTGGAGAGGCAGCTGCGATATAAAGGATTCTTTCATTATATTGTACTGTACTGCTTTCATGCACACAGCGAGCCCACTGACCTCAGCTTCTTTGGAAAGCAGGTTTTTCCCCCTTGTGTTCCTGTGTGCCAGGAGAAATGCTGTCCCTTAACCACTGCCACATAGAAGAAACGCTAAAGCAAGTGATCCCTAGGATCTTAGGCTGGATTGAACTTAGAATATGCATGGGCAATCCTCCACAACTGTGCATTATAAGATGTTCCTTCAGTAATACTTTGCTTTGGAAGAAATGGGGTATGTTCTTTCCCAGGCATGAAAAGGAGTCCAGGTAGCCTTTGTCCTGGCAGCTGGGACCTGGCTTGTTTGAGCAGCACTTTTGAGCTTCACCTTTATCTGCTGCTATAGATATACTGTAACAAGTGATGTTACACAAGATAGCTGTAGTTCTTTAAATAAACACTGCAGTACAATTCCTATAGCAGAGAGCTTTGGAAAGTGTGGCTGTTGGACACAGGGCAGCATCTCAGCCTTGGCTAAGCTGGGGCCTTCCAGGTTTTATTTTTCTGTGAGAGCAAGACATGTATTTTTAAGGGAAAACTGAGATTCTTCCCTAATCTAGCAACCAGTCCCTAAGCCTGTAATTCTCTTCTTTCAGTCTGAAGCTGGAAGGGTCTGGTAAATCTTGTATAATTTAATTTGTAGAGCTGCAATGACTGTGAAAAGTGTGCTGAAGCAGACAAACAATGAGGAAGGGACCACCTTATGCCCAAGTAGCACAAGATTACAGATGGAATAATCTTGTAACAACAGCTCTGCATTAATAAAAGACAGAGCTGTGCTCTCTTGCTAGGAGATTAACCTTGCACTCTAAGCAAAGAAAAGATAATTAACTGATGGTTTGGGGTTGTTGTTTTTTTCTTTCCCAAGGTTCAGATCATCCACACAGCCTGTCTTACAAATTGGAGCTGGGATCAGACCAGGAAATACCGTCTGACTGGTATCCATTTGCTACTGTCCAGTTCATTGTTCACGATACCTGTGCCTCAGGAACGGAAGTCAAGTCACTGGGCGTAGAGAGCGATGTGCAGCCCCAGAAACACGTGGTTCAGAAAGCTTTCTACAACTGCCAGGTATTTTCCAGTGCTTCCCTCCTCTTCTTCCTCCCCACTCCCCCATACAGTATCTGCAAAGCAAATGTGCTTTGCATTTTAAACAGACCTTACATGTACTCGTGATAATGACTTTGAGCAAAAGGATCATTAAAAACTAATTCCTTGTCAGATCAGAGATGATGCTGAAAAACAGAACTGCAAACGTGGTGTGGTTTTTCCTCAGCTGAGCTGTTTTTAGCAATAGTGGTTTTGAAATCTGTTTGGTCTGGAAATGTTTTGATCCTGTGTCACAGCTTTTCTTCATGCTGTTGCTGCAGTTCACACTTCCAGTGCCCAATTTTTTGCTAATTCTACGTGGGTGTTGTTTTTGTTTTCTGACTACAGGTTGAAATTGAAAAGAAGTGGATCAGGCTTGATGGAGAAGACCCAGATAAGGCTGGCAACTGCCTCATGCAGTAGAAAAGGACAGGAGGCACCATCATAGGATGTTAGGAGGCATCCAGTTACATAGGAAATCCTATTGTTAGAGGAAGCGCAGTGACCTAGTTTAGGGTAAACATGGTCATTTTATTTCATTTCTGCTTTTGGGTTTGATTCTGCAAATCAGTACTCTTTTGACTGGTCTGTGTTCAAGTAGACTTCCTGTCATGGGAATACTGGTATGAGTAATGTCTCTTTAAGAGTTGCAGGATGTGAGCACTTAACTGACTGATTCTAATATATTATTTTCCTGTTTGGTATCTATGACTTGGGAATGATCTCATACTCTATATTGAAACCGAATGGCTCTACTTAAAGAGTACATGTCACTTGGACATATAATATTCAGCAATAAGCCTGACAGAGTGCTTATGTTCAGTCCAGCATCTGTGTAAGGTCCAGCAGGACCAATTACATTTTTTAGTGGAGTCTGAAAACTGAAGTCCCCATGTTTCTGCTCCCCTCAATATATGTGAACAGAGCAAGTTATAATACTACCCTTGACAAGAGCCTCGAATAATGACTTGGAAACGGGGTGATTTCATTGGTAAAATGGGAAAAGTTCCTCTGCAATAATATTATTCATTTTTCTGTGGCTGCAAGTGTTTCCTTCACAGCATTTTATGGCTTCAGTCAAAGTAATCTCTCGGGCAAAAAACTGTATGGCAAATGTGATTGAAATTTGTGTTCAGGCATTAGACAAATCTTTCTCACTGCTGCAGTAAGTGAGGCAAGGGGTGGATCCCCAGCAAGCGTGCATCAGTCCAGGCCCATTTCATATGATGGAGCTTTGAGAATTCATTTGATGAAGCTGTGAGAATTTACTCCAGAGGAGCGTATTCCCACAAACTGAAGCCATGGCTGCTGTTTGCTCTGGGTCTCCTTTAGGATGCAAGTTCCAGAGGCTGGTTTAGAAATTGCTGGAGCTGTTTCTTTGAGTAACTTTTAAGACAGCCTTTCCCTGCTGTGACACTTCAGCAGGCAGTTTGAGCTACTAATCCCATATCAATGTGTTAACTGTGCTTTCAACAAACAACAGGCATTGAGGGAGAGGTTTAATGCTTCCCCTCAGCCATTCTGCCCTGTGTCATTCTCTGCAGGCTGTAATTCCAGGTTGGAAAAAATCTGATAAATTTAAAAACTGCCCTCAATACCTTTTTTTTTTTCCCCTGTATTTTTCCTAAAATTATCCTTCCTTCGAACTGAAATTAATGGAGACGAAAAACACAGTAATGCACTGAATCTCACTTTATATTTTATACAGCTTGTAACTGTTCATATGAACACTGTGTAAAAATACAGATCAGTGTGATTCCCCAAAAGTAGAAATATGTAGGATATGCACTGAGGAAAATTACCAGTCTGAGGAAACAGAAGGCCATAATGTGAACCTAGTTCATCACAATAAACTTTTCCCCCCTATTTGGAAGCTGGGAATAAAATGGCTAATAAATTCTATAGTACGTCCTGAGGGCAGGTTTTTTTTTATGGGTATTGCATTGGCAAAGCCCCAAATAGACTATTATGGTATTTTGACTTCTCTATATATCCCTTTTTATTAGCAGATTATATTATTATAAATCTAAGCAAGCATTTGAGTGCAATAGTGATCCAGGTATGTCTCAGCTGTCACATCCTCCATCGTGTTTTGACTGGAGAAGCCATTAGCACCGTCAAGTCATGTTTGCTTTCTTTTATTCATATTAATTTTTAGTTTATATACTTCTCAGCTGAACTGAGAGGCACAGGGCGTGCCAGGGCAAAGTGTTTGTTCATAGCATCACAGCAGAGCTCTGCAGATCATTGGAGTCCATGGTTATCCTGGAGCTACAATATCTGTTAACCTCTTCTGCTTGGTAAGGTAGAGGATGCAAAATACATGTTGCTGACACCTGCACTAACCTTAGTATGAGGCTGACTTGTTTTGATTTCCATTAATACAGCTAATTGAGTAAATCCGCTAGTAGTCATTGTTGTCTAAAGCCTGTCTTGCCCAGCTGGCCCCTATTTTCTGCTTTTCAAATGGAGGGACATGCAGGCTGATCTGGGGCTTTTTTACCTTAGGATCATCATTTGCAGCATTCTTTCCCTGGGTATTCAGTACCTGGTGGTGTTACGGGTTTTGTAGAAGCAACAGCTGCTTTTCTTCTGTCAGGTGTCTGCTGTATCATAGAATCATTGAATGGTTTGGGCTGGAAGGGACCTTAAAACTCATCCAGTTCCAACCCTCTGCCACGGGCAGGGACACCCTCCACTAGACCATTTAGTGTTTGGAAGCCCACACAGCATTGACCCCTCAAGATATGAGCTGTTGTTTTGAATGGGCTAAGTGATGAACAGCCACATTAAGAGTCATCTTTCCTGCCAGTGAATGTACGTTATATCTGGTATGGTGCAAATGATCATTCAGCCTTTTTGACATAAAAAGGTCAAGCTACAGCTTTATCTGTGTTGCAGACTTTTGGATTTCTATTTGAGGTCTGCAAGACTCACCATTTACTTTAATTGGAATAGGATCAGGATCACAGAGAAGTAATTCCACAGAAATATTGCCACACTGAAGGAAAGTTACTCTGTTTAATATATGTCTTTCAGTTTAAACCCGACAATTAGTGCAGCCTGAGTTTGAGTAATTACTCTGCTCAGTCTCAAACTGATGTTTGTATGCCTTGTTGTCAGAATATTTAGAAATAGGCTGCAGTTTCATGAAAGTTAGGGTTGTCTGACATCTCCCTCCATCCCCCCTCAGATTCTGACTTTCTATGCTATTGCAACATGCCAAAGCAGAAATACGCTGGCTTCCTCTGCCTTCTGCATTGTCTGATGTCCTAGAGTATAACCTACTGGACAGATATTCATAGAATCATAGAATAGTTAGGGTTGGAAAGGACCTTAAGATCATCTAGTTCCAACCCCCCTGCCATGGACAGGGTCACCTCACACTAAACCATGCCACCCAAGGCTCTGTCCAACCTGGCCTTGAACACCACCAGAGATGGAGCATTCAAAACTTCTCAATGTTTAAGACTCATTTGCTAACATCTTTTATGAACACTATAGCAGGTGACAGTGAGTAAATGCTTTGATTCTTTAGAAATCAGGGATATAAGTAGTCTGGTTTTGGGAGGGGAATGGAGATGAGGAACAGTTGCTACAAGCTGTTGTGATGCTCAGTGTCCAGCTAGCAGAAGGATCAGAGCTTTAAATAACCCATGAGGTACATTGGCATCATGCAAGGAACGAGGTTTCATATGTATCTGATCTCTGCTTCCCACAGCTACTGCCTGCAGTCACTGAAATGCTTCCGACTGCTTGGGTCGCTTAAGATGCTGACACTTCTCTCACGTTTACTACAGGGCAGTATGTAGATATTATCTGTGTTTCCTTCACAAAGGACCAGCAGGGTTTGGAATATTTTCTATTTTAAACAGAAATCAATGAGAACACCTATTTTTATAGTATGTTTGCCTTATTTTACAAGTGTCCTATTTGCTGAATCCGACAAACTTTATCTGTATGTTCATCTTTCTCATATGATTGTATTACTACTGTAGGTAAATGGTACTTGATTTAATTTTGGACTCAAACACCCATTGAAGTCAATGGAAGTCTTTTAACTGACAAAATGGAATCTGCATCGAAGTCCCTAAGAATAAAGGAGAGGCAAAAAAAAAAAAAAGAGGAAGAAAGGAATAGTGGTAATGTGCAAAAAACCCACAGAAGATTCTTGATGCTAGTAAGTAAGCAACCTGCAATGCTTGTTTATTCCAACCAGAAGAGAGCAAAAGAGAGATGTTACCGGGTGTCAAAGCTGAAGCTTTGCAGTGACTGGAAATGATGGTGTGGCTGCCCCTACATAGCAGCTCTCAAGTAGGGAGGATGATGGTGCACTCCATTGAACATGATGCCAAGCTGCTCTCATCCTTATGCTCCTTGCTTTTTTTTCCCCCTCCAGATTCCATGTAAGTTGTCTGAAAGTACTTTACACCTGAAAGTGTGTTTTCATGTGTTGCTTTTAGTTGCATTTATTTTACTTGACAGATTTCTTATTGGTGCCCACACCTCTATTTTACATTCATTTCTCTTTTTTTTTTTACTAAACAGAGTAACTAACTGCTGCAGTTAGTAGTTCTTAGGTATAATTTTGATAACTCTGAAGCAGTGCTGTTATTCTTAATGGAAAATATAATTTTATTGGGGTCTTCTGTCAGTGTAAGTATGAACAGATCATGTTGATAATCTTGTAATAACATTTTGTAGATTGCATATTGATTAAAAAATAAAGTTGTGTTTCAAACTAGCAGTTTCTTGCCCCTCACTAGAAATTTATCAAGCTTGTTTTACATTTACTGCAATTAATGGGTTGTCTCGTGTCATCGAGTATTGCGATTTATTATAAAGAGTGGTTCTCATCTGCGTTTGAGTGGGGGACATCACTCCTCGTCTTAGGTAAAGCTAGGTGCAGAAAGCTGGGCATCTTTCTGCACTATATTCCATTAATGATCATTTATGGCAGGCCCTTTTCCTGCCTTACTTGT